CCCGGCCCGAGGTGAGAGGGACATGCTTGGGCGACGGGAAGTTGAACGCACAAACCTGTCCAGAGGGCAAGATGCCCCGAGCCCTGGGGAAGGATGAGGACACACCTGATGTCCAGGTGTATGGGGGTGGGGGCGGGGACTCACACACCTGGGAGACATAACTGACTGTGGAAGGGATCACCGCTATCCTGGGAAAGAGAGGCTTTTACCATAGTGGGAACATACACCAACTGATCTAACTAAGGCCTGGTGGGGAGGGCCCGAGGAAGAGGAGATGCATGGGACAGAGGAGGGGGAGACCCCCTGAAGGGAGGGGGAAGAAACACTAAAGGAGTGTGAAAGGCCAAGCAACGGAGAACAAACGTGAATTGGGCGGGGGGGTGAAGACCTGAGCCCTGGAAAGGGTTCATCTCCTGCTCAGCATAAGCACGCCTGCATGGAGATAAGTTCTAAGAGAGCAGACTTTCCCTCTTCACTGTTGTATTTTAATTGTTAGAAATAGTGCCTGACACATAGTAGGCACCCACTAAATGTCTGCTGAATGACCGAATGAGTATATGAATAATCACCAGAGTCCTGGTGAGGTTGGGGGCTTGTGAGGAGACACAGTGCTTTGGTGTGCCTGTGTACACATGTGCATTTTGGAGGGGAGAAATACATACACCTGAAGAAAGGGACGGTGGCCAAACGCTGGGACACTCAAACCCTGGGACAGCCTTTAAAACCTCAGAAATGACAGAGGAGGCCTCCTTCTTCTAGAGTGCTGGCCGGTGTCCAGAACTTCTGTGTTGGGCTTTGCAGGGTGCTGGGGTGGAGAGTTTTACTCCAATACCTTCCCTAGCCATGACGGACGGGATCCTAGGGAAGGCAGCCACAATGGAGATCCCTATCCACGGGAACGGCGAAGCCAGGCAGCTTCCTGAAGATGATGGGCTGGAGCAGGTGCTTCTGTTTGATTCTTCTAATTGTTTCAATTTAGGAATCCAATTTCTAAGCCCTGGGTTCTCACCCCCTATTCCAGTAGCCTTCCCCTGACTTATGTGACTCCATTCTTTTTACATATCATTCTGATTCTGTGCAGAGTTCCCTTGTATACTGTCTTTATGATGCTTGAATCCAAACTTGTTCCCACCTCCAAAATGCTTCTGCTCCACCTATGTTCCTGAAGCAACCCCTCTTCTCTGGCCTATAGGACCTCCAGCAGGTGATGGTGTCAGGACCCAACCTCAATGAAACCAGCATTGTGTCTGGTGGCTATGGGGGCTCTGGTGATGGACTCATCCCCACAGGTATGAATGTTCAGAAACAGGAAGCTTGGGTGGAGGAGGGGACAGGAATGGTTTGGGGAAGCATAGGATATGTCAAGGAAAGCTTGAATTATGTCTAGAGATCTTGGGAACTTCTGCTTGTATGAACCCCATGGACTCTCCTCAGCCCAAGAGCAACTCCCAGCATTGTCCATCCACTTCCCTTTTGCCACTTGGCCCCTGAAATGGCTCATTTGTCCTTTCCATACCACCACCTGAGCAAAGTTAAGACCTACTTCACAGTAATGCCCTACTCTACAGCTTGAGGCTGAGTTGGAACTTTGTGAGGCTTCTCAGAATTTTACTTTAGATTCTAAAGTTTAGAGGAACAAATACTCCTGAATCTCACACTAAGATTCCACATGGGAATGCAACCAGGTTTCTTGTTATCATGATCCACCATCCTTTACTCCTGCTACCCCCAAAGTCAGTGTATTTTCTTCTGTTTCCTCTGCCCCTGTACACCAGCAACTCCCTGCAAACCCCTCCTCCAACCACTAAGGAAGTCATATATATATCAGGATTTGACTCTCACCATGCAAGATTCGAGTTCCTCCTATTAAGCAGTAGAATCCAGTTGTCTCTAGCATTTCCTTCAGGGAAGTCAATTTCATGTGCTGGGAGAGAAGTATGGGTGGGGCCACAGAGGTATGGTGTATCTAAGAGAGGCTGGTGTCAGAGAACTTGATCCTTTAGGGTCTGGCCGCCATCCATCTCACAGCACCACTCCTGCTGTCCCTGGAGATGAGGTGGCTCGGGGCATCGCTGGAGAGAAGTTCGACATTGTCAAGAAATGGGGCATCAACACGTATAAGGTAGGATTTAAGCACATCTCCCTTCCCCAAAACTCCTTATGGGTACCTTTTTTCCCTTTTCTTCATGATAGTAATACCTCGTCTGTGGCTGAGAGTAGGAGCCTGGGGGTGCTGGGATAGATATTGTTGTGTGGGGAGGCTGTTAGGGTCTCTGACCAATTCCCCCATTTCCCAATCAGTGCACAAAGCAGCTATTATCAGAACGATTTGGTCGAGGCTCACGGACTGTGGACCTGGAGCTAGAGCTACAGATTGAGTTGCTGCGTGAGACGAAGCGCAAGTATGAGAGTGTCCTGCAGCTGGGCCGGGCACTGACAGCCCACCTCTACAGCCTGCTGCAGACCCAGCATGCACTGGGTGATGCCTTTGCTGACCTCAGCCAGAAGTCCCCAGAGCTTCAGGTGCCTCAGCCAGACCAAAGAGGGTGGGGGAACTGGGCACGGGCCCTCTCAGGCAGTCATTCCTCATCCTCCCTCCCTCCTGCAGCCCACAGGGAGAACCCCTTCAGGGTGGGCCCAGCCCTACCCCCAGCAGCACTCACCTGTGGAGGCAGCCTAAGGGTTTGTACAGAGGTCCAGAAGTTGGAGGGGGTGGGGGAGGGGGCACACTAGGTGCCTCACAAATAACCCCTCTCTGCATTGGGGAGAATGCCTTCAGTGCTAACCTAATCAGAGCCCCTCCCCTGCCTGCCACACTAGCTCTCAGACTGTTCCAGTCTTGTGAACTTATCCAAGAATGCCCACCACCCACATTCCTACCCCAGGTATCCCCAGGGTGACCCCCCTAACTTTCTGGCTAAGAGAGCCTTGCTGGAGGCAGTCCTTGGTTGTTCCAGTTTTGCTGGCTGTTTCCTCCCTGGGGAGGAGGGGAATGAAGGGCTCTACAGCTCCAGTCTCGTAGGGAGTGTTATTCAAGGCCTGTTCCTCCCTTCTGCCCTCAGGAGGAATTTGGCTACAATGCAGAGACACAGAAACTGCTATGCAAGAATGGGGAAACGCTGCTAGGAGCCGTGAACTTCTTTGTCTCTAGCATCAACACATTGGTCACCAAGACCATGGAAGACACGCTCATGACTGTGAAACAGTATGAGGCTGCCAGGTGTGGGCACTGGCGGGGTTTGGGGAGTTGGCTGGCATGGGAGGAAATTTGGGCATTAGGGGCATAAGAATTCAGGAAGGAAAGGAGAGTATGTGTTGAAGACAAAGGGGTGGAGACCAGCCTGTATCACCCCCTCCCCAGGCTGGAATATGATGCCTACCGAACAGACTTAGAGGAGCTGAGCCTAGGCCCCCGGGATGCAGGGACACGTGGTCGACTCGAGAGTGCCCAGGCCACTTTCCAGGCCCATCGGGACAAGTATGAGAAGCTGCGGGGAGATGTGGCCATCAAGCTCAAGTTCCTGGAAGAAAACAAGGTGCCAACCCCATCCTTCTTGACCCTAGCCCACCTTTCCATCTGTGACACTAACCTTCCCCTCAGACCCTCCCCATATTGAATGGGAAAATGCAGCCTAGCTAGGGAGTCGAATGTTACCTCCTCAGCCCCCTCTAAACCCCTGGGCCTTTCCAGATCACCCTCCCTCCAATTCCTGGCCCTTTCCTATTGGAGGATTTGGCTGCTGGTCCCAGGAACATTACTAGGAAAAATCACCCCCTTAGCTGGGGTACCAAAACCCTAGGCCCAACAAATCAAGTGAGGTTTCTTCCATCAGACTGACCCTTCTCCTTTGACTCCCTGGGTAGAATTCAGCCCTTACCCCAAAAGCACCCTCAGAGCAGAGGCCTTGTGCCCCTGGTCTGTGCCTGGGCTCAGGCTCATAGACCCTCAAGAAGGGCGCCTGAGTCCAGCCTTAGCTGACCCTGCTGGACCCCCAGATCAAGGTGATGCACAAGCAGCTGCTGCTCTTCCACAATGCCGTGTCCGCCTACTTTGCTGGGAACCAGAAACAGCTGGAGCAGACCCTGCAGCAGTTCAACATCAAGCTGCGGCCTCCAGGAGCTGAGAAACCCTCCTGGCTAGAGGAGCAGTGAGCTGCTCCCAGCCCAACTTGGCTATCAAGAAGGACATTGGGAAGGGCAGCCCCAGGGTGTGTGGGAGATTGGACATGGGACATCCCTTGTCACTTGCCCTCTAGCTTGGGCTCCTTTTTCTGGCTGGGGCCTGACACCAGTTTTGCCCACATTGCTATGGTGGGAAAAGGGCCTGTAGGCCCAGAAGCTGCTGCCCTATCTTTCTGGCCACAGGGCTTCATTCCCAGATCTCTTCCTTCCACTTCATAGCCAACGGCTATGACAAAACCACTCCCTGGCCAATGGCATCACTCCTCAGGCTGGGGTGTGCCCCCGACCAATGACAGAGCCTCAAAATGCCCTGTCAGCCAATGGCAGCTCTTCTTGGGCTCCCCTGGGCCAATGATGTTGCATCCAATACCCTTTGTCTCTCCTCTATGCGTGCCCATTGCAGAGAAGGGGACTGGGACCAAAGGGGTGGGGATAATGGGGAGCCCCATTGCTGGCCTTGCATCTGAATAGGCCTACCCTCACCCACCCACCCAGTTTAATTGTGCTTAGAGCCCAAGATTGGGATCTAGCACTAGGAATAAACCTTTCATAAAAGCAGGCCCAGCGAGGTCAATTTGTGGGGGGGGCTCTAGGAGGGTGGCCTGGGTGGAGACATGTCCAGTCTATCAAGTCAAAAGAGCTGGGGCCAGGCAGCTGAAGTCAGATTTCAGAGATGATCTGAAGACCCAGTCTTCTCTCCCAGCCCCAGTTGGAGCCAGCTTTATTTGTCCTTTAGCTGGCACCAAGATAGCTATGGATCTTAAGAGCATCAAATCCAGAGGGGGTTGGCTTTGCTGACCATCATGCATTCATTCATACAGCAAATATTTACTGAGTGCTTTTATTTGCCAGGCACTGCGTTAGACCCTGGGAAACATCAGTGAATAAAACATAGTCCCTTCCCACAGTGCTTAGGGACTAGTGGAGGAAGAAAAGTAACCAGGCAACTACAATACAGTGATAAGTACTAGGATACAGAACTACAGGGCACTATGGGAGCAGGCATTCTGCATAGATGGGTGGAAATAGGGATGTCAGTTTAAAAGTTGAGACCTGAAGGGTGAGTAGATGACAACCAGGCAGGGTAAAGGGAAGAGTATCCCAGGCAGAGAGGCCAACATATAATGAACACTGAGTAGGAACTGGGAAGAATTGTTTGGAATGAAAAATGAAGAGGGAGTGGCTAGACCAAGACTGCAGGTGGTTAAGGACTTTTGCCTTCTGGGGGAGCTGTGAAATGTTTTAAGCAGAAATTTGACTGCCTGGGAGAAGTATAGGGTTGAGAAAAGTAGTCCTCTGAAGCTTAAGAGAGTGTCCTATCAACTCCAGTCCCCTCATCTTGGGTATCCTAGTAGCCCTAACCCAAAACTCCAAGCATCATCTCCATCTGGGATTCCTTCACAAGCACCGGAGCATCCTGTGCTAGGTGCTGAACTCAGGTGGATAAGAGATTGAGGCAGTTCCCATGGCTCCTGCTGCACCCAGGTGTTGAGCCTAAATCTGAACCTTGTGTGAGAGATCACAAGAAAGCTTCCTAACAGCACTTTGGTTTAGTCAGGGCTCAGATGTCATCACCTGTATGCCCTTTAGCCAAGGAAAGCCCCAGAATTTTTCAGGATTCTCCCCACCTCTGGAAGGCTGGAGCAAGGGGACAGCCCACTCAGTATATTCCCATAGCACTAGGTTCCTCACAGGCCTGTCTTTGCCTTTTGTCATGGTTACTGCAGCTCCCAGGCAGTTTTCAGGGCTTTGGTCAGCTTGCAGTCATCTGACTAGAGCTTGACTTTTGGGACAAGGAAGGTGGTTCTCATATGAGCTGCCACTTAATGGGCCACTGGGGATTTTTCAACATGAAAGTTACTGGGTCTCCAAATGCTGGTGGTAGGGCCTAAAAACAGGGCTCAACTCCAGGTTCTGCCACTTTCTAGCTGAGTGATCAGGGCTAACATCTGGGGGAGCCAGATCCCTGTCTCTTCCATTGTAAAACAGGGCTAATACACTAGCTAGTACAGTTATGACTATTAAAGAATATATGTAAAGTGGCTAGTTCTGTGTCTGGTACATCATAACCACACTGTCCCTGTAAACTGTTACAATTATTTTCCACTTGGGGCTGCTTTTTGCACAAGGCAATGATTCCGAGAATTGCCCAGTGTCTTTGGTGTGAGGAAGGGAGCCGCTGGATGGTCTGAACCAGAATTTCCTCAGGAGGGGGCTCCTGAGGCACCCACAGCCTAATCAAGTCCCCCATCTTTCTGCCCCTTAACTCCTTCTCCCAGAGCTCTTAGTACTGTCCTTCTGCCGCCCAGAGATCGTGCTAACGTACAGATGGTCTCTACGTCTTCCTGGTCAGCCGATAGACTAGCATATTTCATAGGAGCACCCCAAGGAAGCAGGAAAGGGCGCCGCCAGGAGGCAGGCAGCCCAGACGGGCTCCCAGAGTCTGAAATCTCTGCTGCCCCAGTTGCCTCTTCTTGACGGAGTCTCATCTCAGGTCCTGGGACCGACTACACCGCCATTCCCGGAGTCCTCGGGAGCCGGAGGCAGCTGGCGGGGATCCGAGATCCGGGATCCGGGATCCGGGATCCGGGATCCGATTCGCCGGCTCCCCAGCAGCACCGCGGAGGCAGCGTCTGCAGGAGGTGGGGGCGTTGGGTGGGGGCGTGCGGGTGCGGTAGGGGTGGGCAGGCGGGGTGGGCGGGGCCTCCGCGGCGGCGGGCGGGACGTGGGTGGGTCTTCCCTGCTGGAGTCGCCCCCTCCCCCGGCCGGTCCGCAGCCCCGCCCCGGCCCCTCCCTCCGGCCTGTGCGGCTGGTCCGGCGGCGGCGCCGGCGCGGGGACAGGCGGAGGCGCGAGCAGGGCCGGGCGGACGGGCGCTGGCAGCAGCAGCAGCGCCGCGGGCCCCTCAGAGTGGCCGCAGTCCGGGCTTTGCCTTCGCATCCTGCTCCAACGCGGTGAGTGCGACGGGCGGGCCCCAAGGGTGCGTTTGTATTCCTGTCAGCCTGGGTTTGAGTCCGAGCGTCTGTGGGTGGGGGCACGGATGATTTTCAAAAGCTGTGCCTCTCTCTGCCCACGTGAGGCGTGTCCATGTCCGTGAGAGCAGCAGGGGGATTCTTCGGGCTGTGGCTGTTCACGTGAGGTCCCTGTTTTGAGGCGGGGAGGTGCGGGTGGATGGGTGATGGTTCCTTGGAGGAGCGCGGGGTTTGGGAGCTTGTGTGTGTTGGCGGAGGGTGCTGAACGCTGCGGCCGAGGGTGTTGGTGGTGCTGATGGTGGTGAGTGCTGAGTGGGACTCTGGAATATTGTGGCCCAGTTGTCTGAAGGGCTCTTTTCTTCCTGGTGCAGACACCTCCACCCCTTGCTCCCCCACCCCCACCCTACCCCACCGCCCCGCCCCTTCCATCCTCTGGCACCCACAGGCCCACCAGTCAGGATGGAGGACACCCTTTCCTCCCCACTGCTCTATGGACAGGAAGCCTCATGTAGAGGCTGTTTTTTTTTTTTAAGGGAAAGGACCCCTCTGGTTCTCCTGTAGCTTGAACCCTGCCTGGAGGACCCCAGGCCCCTCCCTGGTTCTGACCTCCTCCCTTCTGGAATTGGCTTCAGATCCTGGGCTGCAAACCTGCAGGGACAGATGGTTGCAGATTGGAGGGGCAGGCTGCACCCCAGGGAGGTCAGTTCGACTGAGGGCAGGCCCTGGGTTCTTGGTGTGGGGGTTCTCTGATGTGGACAACAGAAACTCAGGACTGATCGTAGCAGGAAGATCGTATCTGGGAGGTCAGAGCAGGTACAGAAATCTTCACAGGTCTCTCCTGGTCAGTCTATCGAGCTCACCGGTACCCATTCATTCTCTAAGCAGGGGATGATTTGCTGCAGAATTGGAAATCAGAGCTGCAGGCCTGACAGGTGCCCTGCCTCTTTGGGCTTGTACGCCTCCAGTGACAGAGCACTTGCTACCTTCTGCTGTGGAAAAGCTTCCTTATATTAAGCAGAGGTCTCTCTTCTTGAGACTTTATTCCCTTGTCTTGTTACTGCCATTACTTTTGCATCTCTCTCTGATGAAAGGGAATTGCAGAGATTTAAACAGGGCTCTCCTGTAACCAACATATACTGAGTAATTCCTGCGTGCTAGGTACTGCCACAGCCACTTAGGGCACAATGGCATTCTTGCTGAGAGAACTTGAGCAGAGTCCATAGTTGGCATAGTATAGCCCAGGTTCAGAAAAGCAGAAAAAACATATGATTAGAATAGAGAGTGTTCATAGAGTGTCATAGATGACTTAAAACTCAGCAAACATTTATTTGTGGGGGCATGGGGGAAGCGTGGAGGGGAGGTAACTAAGACCACCCTCCAGCACATTTAGCCTAACAGTGGAAACTAGAAGTCAAATCATTGAGGCGTACAAGATGGGATTTAATCATCGGCACGTAGTACAATCTGTAGGGGCCCTTGGCTTGAGAGGGAACCTTGGGAGTCTCTTCTTCCCAATTTACAAGTAAGGGAATGGGGTCAGAAAAGACCCCTCTTCTCCCAACTTGCAAGTAAGGGAATGGGGTCAGAACTTGCCCAGAGTTTCACCTTGTGTTAGTGGAGTTAGTGACAGAGTCAGGACTAGATCCTAGATCTCCTAACTTTTTAAACCTACCATGTTTCAGAGGCAGAATCAAGGATATAGTCATAGCTTGTATCTCAAAGGTAAAAGAAAAGGCATAATTAAGAAGGCTACCAGGGTTCTGGCTTGTGTGACTGGGTGAGTGGTGGTGCCTTTTATTTATTTATTTATATTTGTATATTTTTCTTTATAGAGGCAGGGTCCCACTATGTTGTCTAAGCTGGTCTTGTACACCTGGGCTCAAGTGACCCTCCTTCCTTGGCCTCCCAAAGTTCTGGGATTACAGGTGTGAGCCATGACAGCCGGCCAGTGGTGCCTTTTATTGAGATGAAAAACACAGCAGGAAGAGTAGGTTGGGGAAAATAAATTAAGTTTTGGATTAATCACTGTGTGCCATCTAGGTAGAGATGCTCAAAATGCAGTTGGATATACAGGTATGGGGTTCAGGAGTCTTCGGACACAGGAGATAAGGCTTTGGGAGTCATTAACAATTGGATGTTAACTAAAAGCATGGGAGATGACAAGCTTGCCTAGGCAGGGGATGAAAAATGAGAAGAGAAGAGGCCCTAAAACAAAACCTTGTGGAACTAAACATTTAAGGAATGAGCAATGGAGGAGCAACCAAAGAGGCAAGTGGAGAACCCACATGGAGTGAATGTAAAAACATTATGTATAACCTCTGCCTTTTTGAGATTTTCAGTCTTGTCCATCTGGCCTATATTTCTAAGTTTCTCATGGTTCTGTTTCTTTACTCACTGTTTCCCCAATGTACATATCAATGTCCTATTTGTCCCTCAAGGCCCAGCTCAAATACCCCTTCCTCTGGAAGCCTTTTTTATTCTCCACCATCCTCAGAGTTAGATACTTCCTCTAGTTTGCTGCTGTGGCAATTTGAACATGCCAGTATCATGGTACTTATCACATTATAGTTACGTGTTTCCATTTCTGTTTTACACATTAGTCTAAAGACTTGTGAAAGACAGCGATTATGTCTGATTCAGCTTTGTGTCTCCAGTTCCCAGCTGAAGGACCTGGCCCGCAGTGTGCCCAGAGAAGTTTGATTGAATGGTTCGTTCACTTTATTCAGTCTGGCAGTGTTCGGTGAGATGGCCATGAATTTCATTGCTTTCCTTCCCTGCCGTCTTATTTAAAGGATTCATTGGCTTTAAGGACTTTGCCTCATCCAAGGCTTCATTTGTTTCAGAGAAAGCCAAAAGACTGTAACCTGCAGTTATTTGTCATTTTTTTTTCTTTTGAGGCCTCAAATGATCAGATACACCTGGAGGCTAGTGAGTAGACATGAGTCATTTTAGCATGCATGTGAGCCTAGCTGACCTCTCACATCCATTTTCAATAATGCCTTGGTTACCTCCATTCACAGCTGTGTAATTCACATGTACAGGGAATCTTGTGAGATTGTAGGAGGAAGTCATGGGGGAAATTAATGCTGTTTGCGAATTTGAAGAAACTGAAACATATCCTTTGCAGATGTCCAGGATCTAGTGGTATCAGCACTGGCTGTCTTCATTTGTTCACAATCAACTTCTTGCTTGACTCCCTGGATCTGGCTTCCTGTCCTCCAGCCCCTGAAAACCATACTCTCTGAGGTTAATGAAAGCCTCTTTGGGGATTAAATAATGGGACCTCTGCAGCATTTAACTCCCTTGTTAATGAAGTTCTCTTCTCCCTTGGCATTCTCAACATCTCTGTTTCCTATTTCTCTTGCTTCTCTAGCTGTGCCTTCTCAATCTTTTCAGGCTTTGCTTCCTGGGCCTATCTTTTAAATATTAAGGTTCCTTGGGGCTTGGTGATAGGCCCTCATTTCTCACTTCACCCTTTCTGGGTAATGTCATTCACTTCCATGGCTTCAGGAACCATCTCTACACCAACATCCAAATTCATGTCTCCAGGCCAGACCTCTGTCTTAGGCTTCAGCATGTTTTTCCAACTGCCAACTGGACCCCTCCACTTGAATTACATCCCATAGGCACCTCACATTCATTATATTAAACACTGAACTCTAGCTGGGTGCTGTGGCTCATACCTGCAATCCCCACACTTTGGTAGGCCAAGCAGGTGGATTAGTTGAGCCCAGGAGTTTGAGGCTGCACTGAGCTGTGATCATACCACCACATTCCAGTCTGGACAAGAGTAAGACCCTGTCTCTTAAACACCAAACTTATTACCCTCTCATCCAAACTCCTCTTCTTTGAGAGTTTCCAAACTAGAAAACTAGGAATCATCTGTTAATTCCTTCATCTCCCATAACTCTTCATATGTAAACAACCAGCCATCAAGTTTGTTGATATTCCCCTGCAAAATTAATTCATCTTGACCTCTCTTTACTATTCTCCTAATCAAGGCAGTTTCTTAACTTTCTATTCTTGCCCTTTAAACTATTTTTTTTTTCCACACAGCAGCCAAAAATGTACTGTTGTCACTTTATACTTAATACCCCTCAGCACCACCAAAGTTTTCCTTTGCTTTTTGAATAAATCTTTCAACTCCTAGCAGGTAAGGGTATAGTCTAAACTCCTTAATAAGACCAAAAAAGCATTGCGTGATGTAGCTCTTGCCTACCTCTCCATCTCTTGTCTTAGCCCTCCCATCACAGTGTCTGATTCAGCCTCCTGATGCAAAAGGCACCATACTCTTTGTAACTTAGTCATCCTGTAGTTCTCAGCTTGAACTTTACTTCCTTTATGAGAACTCCCTTGGCTTCCAACTTCTGGACCCACCTCTATTCCAGAGCTAGGTTAGGTAACCTTTGTACTCCCGGAGCAATTGGTACTTCCTCATCATGGTCTTCACCACTTTGCATTGCAGTAATCTACTTATTAGATTGTGGAATCCATGAAGGCTGAGCTGTGACTATTTATCTTTGTGTCCCCAGGCCTAGCAGCAGTGTCAAGTGAATGCTGAATGAGGGAATGAGGTGCCTTGAGAACTAAGCCATAAAGGATGGCGGGAATAACCAATGCAGAAATAGCAGAAGGCAGTCCGAGGAAGGAGGGCGAAGTTCAGCTCTGAGACCAAGGCCTCATAAGTGTCTGCTGTGATAAACAGTCCACTTGAACCACCGCTATAGGATCTTGGGGGCAGATCTCTAGAGCATAGTGGGATGGAAGAGCTAGGACCCCACGGGAGGAAGAGAATCTCAGATTCAGGCGGGGGTATGACCTCAGCGGCTGCATGCCCAGTAAGTCTGGGAGGGGAACTAAAGCAGGAAGGGGAGGGGTGGGGGAGGAGCTGTTGGTCCTTGGAAGTAGCCCAATCCCCGCCCCTGTGTGACTGGCTGGGAGAGCCCCTACGCTTGGAGAGAGGTGGAGCCTGGCATCCAGCTACCCCAGTGGGGCCCAGCAGACCACTCCCACTCTTCCTCCCAGCCTTTTCCTTCACCAGACTGAAGCTTCAGTTTGCCTCCCGCCTCCTGGTCCTTCCGCCAACCTTCAATCTGTCCTCCCTCCTGCTATGTTTTCCTGGTATTAAGTCTTCAGACTCCAGAACCTGTTACATCTGTAGAGAGAACATCAGGACACCAGTGTCCACCTCAGGAGAGGATGGTTTCAGGCATGCCCTTCCCACTCTACCCAGGCCCACTCTTACACAAACATAAGGCATAGCAACTCAGCCCTTCTATCCTTCCCCAAGCCTGGACTCCCTGCATTCATTCATTCATTCATTCACTCACTCACAGTCTTTAGAAAGGCTCGTAACGTATCTAATACAGACAATGGTGACCTGGTCCTATTCACTGCCTATTTTGAAGTAGTTCAGCAATTGTTCTGCCACCCTTCATGATTAAATCCCTGCCATGCATTGTCTACATGGCTGTGTTAACTTTGTCTCCCATTTACTGTTCAGTCACTCTGACATGGTTTCTGCCCCTGCCACCCACCACAGCCAAATCTAGTGGACACTCTTCAGTCCATTTCTTACTTCACCTCTCCTTTTTCTTGCACTGTTCTGTTGATTTCTTTGGTTTCACAGTCTGTTGGTTTATCTCCCATTTCTCTGGGTACTCTTTCTCAGTCACTTTAGCTGGCCCCCCTTCCTTGTGCCAGGCCCTTTTCTTATCACTATCTGCCCTCTGTCCCTAGGTGGTCTTATGTATTCTCATTGCTGTAAGTGCCATTTATATGTCAGTGATTCCAAATTAATAACCAGCCTAGACCTTTCTCTTGAGCTCTTGTATTCTGTTTCTCACTTGACAGCTCTACCTGGACATCACAGAGACACGTCATACACAGCATACATAGAACAGAATGCCCCACATCAGCTCCATCTCAGCTCTCACTGTCTCTATTCATGGCCCATCATTTGCTAAAATGAGAAAGCTGGGAGTCATAATGGACATTCCTTTTCCTTCTCACACCCAGTCCATCTTGATATCCTTTTGATTTCTCTTTAATTATTTTATTTTTATAGAGATGGAGTCTCATTATGTTGCCCAGACTGATCTTGAACTCATGAGCTCAAGTGGCCTCCTTCCTTGGCCTCTCAAACTGCTGGGATTACGGATGTGAGCCACCATGCCCAGCCAATGAATATTTCTCAACAGTCCAGCTTTTTACTTATAACTCAGATGATGTCCTACATTATTTTACCCAAAGAACTTTGGTTTCCTAACTGGTTTCTCTGATTCCACCCTTGCTTATCTTTGTCTTCAATTCTCACAGCTGCCCCAGTAGCTTTCTAATTTATTTTCACTTATTTATAAACTATATCATCCTCCCCTCCAACTTAGGATAAAATCACTTTTTTTTTTTTTTGACAGAGTCTCACTTTATCTCATGTCAGGCTAGAGTGCAGTGGCATCATCATAGCTCACTGAAGCCTCGACCTCCTGGGCTCAAGCAATCCTCCCACCTCAGCCTCCCAAGTAGCTGGTACTACAGGTGTGTGCCACCATGCCTAGATAATTTTTAAATTTTTTATACAGACTAGTCTCACTGTGTTGCCCAGGCTGGGCTCCAATTCCTGGGCTCAAATGATCCTCCTGCCTTGGCCTCCCAAAGTGCTGGTATTACCAGGCATGAGCCCCTGTAGCCGGCCAAAATCACTTTCTTAACGGGGGTTATAAGGTCCTTCATGATCTCATCTCTGCCTATCTTCCCAAACTCACCTCTTTCTTTTATTGACTTGGCTCCAATCACACAGTTCTTTCAGGTTCTCCATGAGACTTCAGCCTAAGAACCTTTATCATGCTGTTCCTTCAGCCTAGAATGATATCCCTTCCTGACGCCCTGTTCTTTTTCACCCTCACCTGTACCATTTTTCTCATCCACCCAGAATTCTGCTTAAAAGTTACCTCCTTGGAGAGCCTTCCCTGATAACCCAATCAAAAGTGTTCTTTCTCACAGCATCCCTTTTTTCTTTATAGCACTTCCCTGCTACCGTTATTTACTTTTAGAATATCTGCCATCACCTCTCCACCACAGGGACAGTGACCATATCTGTTTTATCATTCTATTCTTAACACCTGTGCAAAATAGGCACTTAGTAAATATTTATTGAATTCCTGAATCAATGCAATATAGGTCAGTCTTTATGTCACACTCTGTGCTAAATGCTATGAATAAAAAAATATATATAAATGAATGAATGAATGAATGAATGAATAAAATGCCTACCCTCAAGAACACTGCATGGAGTGGGGAAAGCAGAGAAGTAATAAGAAAGTTACAGCACGGCTTATAAGACCTAGGATAGAGTAAATACAGGGTGCTGAGGGACACAAGGTAGAGCACCCAAGCCAGACTTTGGGTAGTCATGGAAGGTCTTCTAAAGGTGATGACATTTATATCACCTGAAAGATAAGTAGGTATCACATCGGCCAGGCAAAGGGGCCAGGAAGAGGATCTCAGGACAGAGAGAATGAATGTGTGATCTCTCACAAGCAAACAAAAGAGAACAAGGAGTTTTCCAGGAACTGAAAAAAAAAAAAACCCCAGCAGGAATGATTGATCATAGACTCATGAGGCATGAGGTTGTAAAAAAGTTTGGGCCAAAGTTAAGCCTCATTGGCCAATTTAAGGACTTTGGACAATGGAGAACCGTTGAAGGAATTTAAACAGAGAGTAGTGACAAGATCAAATCTGTGTTTTAGAAACCTCATTCTGGCTGCAAGGAAGATAGATGAAAAAGTACACATGAGGAGACAAGTACACCAGTTAAGAGGCTATTGCTGTATTCCAGGAGAGAATTGATGGTCTCCTGAATTGGGGGCAGTAGCTGTGGGATTGGAGAGAAGGGTTTAAGATATTCAGGAAACAATCCCGACTTTGATACTAACTGGGTGTGAAAAAGAGTGCAGTTTCAGGCAGCTGTGCTAAGAGGTGGGTCAGGGCATAAATGGAAGAGCCACTCCAGGTCTCTTGGAGAAGGGTTTGGGGGAGGTAGAGGAGATGAAGGGTAGGTGTGTCAGTGAAAATGGACATCCCTGTACCATGCACTTAACATGCACTATTTCACACTCTCAAAACAAATTATTATTGCTATAATTACTAATTAAGAGACTGAGGCTCAGAAAAGTTATATGAATTGTCCAAGCTCACATAGCTGGTGAGAGATTGAGCTAGGTTTGAAACCCAGTCTGTTTCTCTGTCTGTGCTCTTAAACAGAACACCAGACTCAGGGGTCACATCACCTTGATCCTTCCAGTCACTGTCCTGTCTTGCCCCTGGCAGGAAAGAAGTGGGGGCAAGTTCTCTGCAGGGGATTTGAATGGTGGGGACTGGGTGGGGAGAGGAAGTGCTGGACCCCCTGGTGCTGACCATCTCTCCATACAGAGGCTGGTGTGAGTGGCAGGAGCCATCTGTGGGCACCATGGCAAAGAGGGAGGACAGCCCTGGCCCAGAGGTCCAGCCGATGGACAAGCAGTTCCTGGTATGCAGCATCTGCCTGGATCGGTACCAGTGTCCCAAGGTTCTTCCTTGCCTGCACACCTTCTGTGAGAGGTGAGGGGGTATGTGTACTGGGGAGGGATGAGGACGCTGTGGGCTCTCCTGAAGGAGCATGTGTAAACCTGTAGTAGGTGAGGGCAACATGCATACCTGGGAGGGGAACAGGTGAACCCCAACCTGTAGGAGATGAGGTTTTGGGGCAAGAACCTGTGAGAGGACCATAAACTTGCAACACTGGTCCATGGTTCCTGCTTAGAATAGGGCCTTCTCTGCCCTTTCCCAAACCTGAAGTCAGCTTTTGACACTACCTGAGAAATCAGACAGTGCTGAGACTCAACCAGCTCTGGCACCAGTAATTGATGACTAGTTGGAGGATATTTGAAGCTAGGTCTGTCCTTTCCTGCTTGTCCTCATTGTTGTTCTCAGGCACTGGGTGAAAGGCAACCCCTCCCAGCCTCTAGGCTTCTATTGATAATTTATTTGTTTAACAAATATTCATTTATTGAGCAACTACTATGTGCCAGACCCTGTCCTAGGCATTGGGTATGCAGTGATGAGCAAAACCAGATATAATCCTTACTCTTTTAAAAAACTGATAAATAATAGTTTACATATTAATGGGGTACATGTGATACATTGTTACATGCATAGAATGGGTAACAATCAAGTCAGGGTATTTGAGGTACCCATCACTTATAATGCTTACTCTTAAAGAGTTAACAGTATAGTGAAGGAGAAAGACAGTAATCAAACAATCATATAGTCAGATTATAGATAAATATAACCCTTAGTAAGTGCTGCAAATAAAGTGCTAAGCTATGGGAGATTGGCATATGGAATCTGTTATAGTTTGGAGAATCAGGAAAGGTTTCCCTGAGGTGCAATTCAGAGGATGAATAGGAGTTAGCTAGATAAAGGGAGTTGGAAGAGCATTCTGTGCAGAAGGAAGACTATTGCAAAAGCCCATGTGACATGAGAAAATATGTCAGGTAAGAGGCCTGGAGGAAGCCTAGTGGGGCTAGAGCAGAGTGAGTGTGACTGAGAGTAGCATGGGATGAAGCTGGAGAGGTAGGTGGAGGCCAGACCACCGGGGCTTTGTAAACCTGTTAGGGAATTTTGCGTTTACCCGGAGAGCCACATGAAGCCTTTGCAGGGTTTTATATGTGATCACATCTGTATTTTGACAGTATTCTCTTGGGCCCTCATCCCTCTATGTTCTGTCTTGGATGGCCTGGTCCCTGGGTCTTCTCACCATTGCCTCTATCAACACTTTTCCTCTGTCTTCTGCCCCAACTGAAGCCTGGCTCTGCACCAGGGATACTGCTTCCCTGCCAGCCCTGCTCTTTGAGATCCCAGCTCCACTGTCTGCTGTCATTTATCATCTGGAAATGGCCTCAGTTTTCCTGTCCATTCAAGTTCTTCTGTCAACCTGGGGACAACCACCTTCTTGTACCTGTTGGTTCTTGACTGTTTCTTCAAGGTTGTTCCCCATTCTACCTCAGCAACAGTCTCCTATCCATGTGCTGAATTTTATCACCCAGAATAATACCACTTCTGTGGTCATAAGCCCCAGTGTTCCACTCCTGGCTCCCATTACCCCACTCCCACTGTACCACTTTTGATACAATATAGATGTCTAGCCCCTTTGACTGCTCTCTCTTTTTTCAGTCGCCAACTGTATCCTGGCCTCCCTTTTTTTCCTACCCATCCTGGACCCTGTGGCTGACCGACTGGCTTCCCTGCAGTTTCCTCACATCTTTATCCTTTTAAAACCCATGCAATAGAAGCTCAATGTTGGATCAGAGCCAAAATTGGATGTCTCTGCGCACTTTCTCCTGTGCCGGGATCACTGAGCACTCCTGGAGAAAATCAGTGGCTGAGACATTGTAATAACAATAGCTACCATGTATTGATTGCTTACTGTTTGCCAGGGACTGGCTACGTTATTTATACATACTGATTTCCTTAATCCCTGCAATATACTTTATTAACTTCATTTTATTTTTTAAATTTTTTAAATTTAATTTAATTTTTTTTTAGAGATGGGGGTCTTGCTTTATTGCCTAAGTTGGACTTGAACTCCTGGGCTCAAGTGATTGTCCTGCCTCAGCCTCCTGTGTAACTGGGATTACAGGTGCATGCCACCACGTCCAGGTATCCCCATATTAGAGAGGAGGAACTAAGGTTCAAAGTCAGTAAGTAATTAAGAAATATCTCTGGCCAGGTGCAGAGGCTCATGCCTGTAATCCCAGCACTTTGGGAGGCCAAGGTGAGAGGATCATTTGAGTCCAGGAGTTCCAGAGTAGCCTGGGAAACAACATAGTGAGATGCAGTCTCTACAAAATAAGTTAAAAATTAGCTGGGTGTAGTGACATGCGTCTGTTGTCCTAGGTACCCGAAAAGCTAAGGTGGGAGGATCACTTGAGCCTGGGAGGTGGAGGCTGCATTGAGCTGTGATCACATCACCGCATTGGGTGACAGAGAGAGACTCTATCTCAAATTAAGTAAATAAATAAATTTTTTAAAAATTAAATATTTCCAAGGCGACATAGCAAGTAAATAGCTGAGATCTGAATCCAGTTTTTACTGCAGAGCCTTTGCTTTCAACTAGTATTCATTCATTTATCCCTTGGTCCCTGCTTTCAGAGTGTGTTCTAGTGGGCAGTGACTGACAGTAAGCAATCAAGAAAATGAGAGCTGAAGCTTGTATTAATGTTTTGCAGGATATAAACAGAGAGTAAGTAGGGGTGTTTAGGACAAGAACTATTCTACATAGTCATCAAGGAAGGCTTCCCTGAGGAGGTGACATTTGACCTACGTTCTGAGGATAAGAAGGAGACAAGTTGTTCCAGGCAATAGAAAAATCTGTGCAAAAGCCTTGAGGAAGAAGTAGACAGGGCAAGAAACCAGTGTGGCCAAGGTGAAAGAGAGTAAGGGCAGTTCATGGGGGAGCTTGTAGGTTTTAGGAAAGTGTTTGTATTTGTATTTTGTTCTAAGTGCAATGGGAAACCACTGAAGTTTGTTTATTTTAATATATATATACAGGGAAATAATGTGATATAAAAAGTTCACCCTAGCTGTTGTGCAGAGAATGGATTATAAAGGAGCAAGAGTGGAAAAGGAGACCAGTTAGGAAGCTATTGTGAGCCACGTACACTTCACAAATAGGAAGGAGATATTGCTGAATTAGAAAGTGTTCTGCAGGGGAAACACCAGATTCAGTGAGGTGGGAAGAAAGCTGCCATAGAGTGGAATGGTTGAAATGCAGTGCTAGTTGATGAGAAATGGTGTTAGTGGGAGCATGGGAAGTGGGGGAAAAGATCACTGGAGGTGAGAAGGTCAAGGAATTAAGAAATCACAATGGCCGGGTGCGGTGGCTCAAGCCTGTAATCCCAGCACCGTGGGAGGCCGAGGCGGGTGGATCACGAGGTCAAGAGATCGAGACCATCCTGCTCAACATGGTGAAACCCCGTCTCTACTAAAAATACAAAAAATTAGCTGGGCATGGTGGTACATGCCTGTAATCCCAGCTACTCAGGAGGCTGAGGCAGGAGAATTGCCTGAACCCGGGAGGTGGAGGTTGCGGTGAGCCGAGATCGTGCCATTGCACTCCAGCCTGGGTAACAAGAGCGAAACTCCGTCTCAAAAAAAAAAAAAAGAAAAAGAAATCACAATGAGGAATGGATGTTAGTGCCACTGAGAATGATGGCAGAGTGGTGGTGGGGGTAATAGAAGAAGAGAATGAGCCAAGGGAAAGACATCCACAAATGGAAGTGGGGACAACCATTACGTTAGTGGAGACAATAACAAGGAGGAGTGGTATAGAGAGAAGCCATGAGCTTCAAAGGAGTTAGAGATGAAAAGTTTAGAAATGTTCCAGTTGGGAAGAGGAATGGCTCAACCCCACCTTCTGGCCCTAAGGAGTGTGGAGTATGAGACAAAAACCACTCTCTACTTGAGAGGACTGCGGGGAAATGTAGGTCACAATTAAATAAGTTAGGCCAGGAGCGGTGGTTCATGCCTGTCATCCCAGCACTTTGGGAGGCCAAGACAGGCAGATCACCTGAGGTCAGAAGTTTGAGACCAGCCTGGCCAACATGGCAAGACCCTGTCTCTACTAAAAATACAAAAATTAGCCAGGCTTGTTAGAATGTACCTATAATCTCAGCTACTTGGGAGCTGAGGCAAGAGAACAGCTTGAACCCAGGAGGTGGAGGTTGCAATGAGCCAAGATTGCACTACTGTAGTCCAGCCTGGGCTACAGAGCAAGACTCTGTCTCAAAAAAAAAAAAAAAAAAAAAGAAAGAAAGAAAGGAAACAATTAAATAAGTTAATACTTGTGAAGCACTTAGAATCATGCCTGGCCCATAGTATTTGTCAGATTTTAATTAATTAAGATCCTAAGTTATAGGAAACATTAAGAGATGAAATTGAGGATATGGGAGTTTGCACAATGCAGATCTTCCCTCCACAAATTTGCGGTCCCCAAATACAGCTGTCTTCAGTTCTGATGTCTGTTTCTAGTAAGTGTCCTCTGCTCCTCCCATCAGTGACTAATCTGAGCCATCATCAGGCCCCTGAATCCTCCCTCCTTCATTCTCCTGTGTCCCCTGTGCCCCTCTACATCCTCCTCTCCTTTCCTCCTCCACTTCATTCAGAGATTGACGTCCATTCCTCCTCTTCAGGCCAATTTGAGCCACCCCCACATCTTTAAGACCTTGTCCTCTTGGTTTTCTGGTCTCTTCCGCCTCTCCTTCTCTCTTGACTCCTCTATTTATAAACATGCTCAAAGCTCCCATGCCAAACAGATAAAAACTCTCTGTTACTTTGTCCCTAGCACCATCCAACCCCTCAGTCTCCTTCTCATTCAAACTTTCAGGCTCCCCTTCATGCTTCAATTTCAAGCAGTCAGGCTTTCCTTCTCCTGTCACTCCCTCCCTGTTTTCCTTACAGACAAAATACCCTCACATTTGCCAAATTCAGTGAGCATTTTCCTGTCCTTACCTTATCCAACTCCTCAGCTTCTTCTGACACTGATGACTACTCATCCTCCTGGAAATGTACCCCTCACTTTTCTGCCCTAACACTGCTGCTCCTCCTGCCTCTCAGCCTGGTCTTTGTTGTCCTCATTCAGTTTTTTCTGAGTGCTCTGTCCCTCTTTCTTATCACTGTCTATGCTTTCTTGGCTGATCTCATCCTCTCTCAGGGCTACCGAAGCCATCTAAATGTTGATGGCATGCCCATCTCTTGTCTCTAACATTCATTCTCCTGTCTACTGGTGACCTCTACCTAGATGTTTATTGTTACAGTAAATTCAACCAGGTCAAGGCTGAATTTTCCTATAGCAGCTACTCTTTCTATATTTCTCATCTTAGTGAATGTCACCACTATCCACTCAGTTATCTAAGCTAGGAAGCTGGAAGTTAATGAAGACTCATCATCTCTCTTGCTCCCCATATCTAATCAGACAACACCTCCCACCTTCCCTCCTTCTTAAACACTTCTCAAATTTGTTATAGTCTACCTTATTACTGCCTAAATCCAGGTCTTCCTCACTTCCTGCCTAGATTACTGTAAGAGTAAATTGGTTAAACATATACTTTGCATTTGAATACAGGCTCCGGCACTCACTGCTGTTGTTACCTTGGGCCACTTGCCATTTTTCCTGCTAATGTAAACGTAAATCAGAAAGCACGGCACTAGCACATGTGCACTTAATAAATGGTAACTAGCTGATGATGCCACTGTTGTCCCTTCCCCACCATCTCATTCTCTTTAAATTAACTCCCCACACAGAGGTGGTGAAGAGGAGCTTGGCAAATTGTAAACCTGACTGTACCACTCTCTTGCAGCTTCTTGTTGCTGGTGGGATAACTTCTAAGCTCCTTGACTTCTCTCACCATTCCTTGCCTTGCACTTTGTCTCTAGCTAGCCACATCAAACTGCGTGTAGTTTCCTTTTCATGCTGTGCTGCTTCTTGCTGCCTTCTGTACCTTCTCCTCTCCCTGCACCATTCTTTGGTCAGGCTAACAATTATTTATCCTTGAAGATTTAATTTACATCAACTTCTCTGAAGACTTTCTTGGCCACCCTCTCCACCTGCCTGAGCCAGATGCATTTCCTTATCACTATATCTGTCATTCGTTATAGCAATAATAAGTAATACAAGTAGCCTACCATATATAGTGCTTTTGTGAGTCAGGCATTTTACATTTAATCCTCTTCAAATATAAGTAAGTACTTTACATGTAATCCTCTAACACTGTGAAGTCTGTACTTCTCCATCTTACAATGGAAGAGTCCTTGGCTTGTCAAAGTTATGTAACTTGTCAGGGGTCACACAGTATAACAGGTGACCAACTGGGATTGGGCCTGGGCAGCCTAGCTCCAGGACCAATTCCCTTAATCATCATGCTATTTACTTCTGTACTATTTCTGTGACTTTTTTCTCTGTAGATGGGAAATATTTTAAGGGTAGGCACTGTGCTTTATTTTTTTTGTCCTCAGAGCTTGGCACAAATTTGTCAAGAGTAGACAGTAAATGTTTAATGAGTTAAAGAAGTTGGGTGGGGCGGGGGGTGCTGTTGCACATTCCTGTGAGAAGCATTTGTAAACACCTGTGAAAGGCAAGCCTGTATGCACACTGTGAGGAATGTGGATAGTCTGCTCTTCTGAGAGAAGTCAGGGATGTGTTCCTATTCAGTTGTAAGAGACAAGGGCATTATATCTGTTGGCAGATGAGATGTGTCAACCAGAGAGGTTTTAAAATGAAGTGTAATGGCACACTTGTAAGGGAAGGAGTCGGCACCCATGGGAAGTATAAGGAAGGATGCACTTATGTCACCCCACTCCCTCCATCCTTTGAGTCTCCTTCTTCCTGGACAGATGTCTCCAGAACTATATCCCTGCCCAGAGCCTGACGCTATCCTGTCCAGTATGCCGGCAGACGTCCATCCTTCCGGAGCAGGGTGTCTCAGCACTGCAGAACAACTTCTTCATCAGCAGCCTCATGGAGGCAATGCAGCAGGCACCTGATGGGGCCCACGACCCCGAGGACCCCCACCCCCTCAGTGCAGTGGCTGGCCGCCCTCTCTCCTGCCCCAACCATGAAGGCAAGGTGGGCCCAAGCGAGGCCCAGTGAGGCCGGGACTTGGGGTGGGAGGAGGAGGAGAGGCATTGGGGGGTGCCAAGTGGCTGGGTGAAAGGGTACTGCTTTGGATGAGTGGTCCAGGTAGGGGGTACACTTAGAAGGTGAGGGGCAAGGAGGGCAGGTGGGGAGGGGAGAGGACAAAGAAGTGTGATGTCTAGCCATTACCTGACTGGAGTCCTTGTACTGCAGACGATGGAGTTTTACTGTGAGGCCTGTGAGACAGCCATGTGTGGCGAGTGCCGCGCAGGAGAGCATCGTGAGCATGGCACAGTGCTGCTGAGGGATGTGGTGGAACAGCACAAGGCAGCCCTGCAGCGCCAGCTTGAGGCTGTGCGTGGCCGGTAGGCACTGGGCAGGGTCCTGGGCTGGTGGGGCCACAGGGATGGTGCCTCAGCTGGGGTGGGGAGGGGAATAAAGGGTCTGGGAAGGGCAGAGATAGAAGTCTCAGTGAGGTCTCAGGAAGGAGATCTCCATGAGGGCAATGGTAGGGTCCCCAGGGAGAAGGGATCGTTGGGCAAAGCCACCCTTAGCAACTCTGGCATGAGATGTTACCCCTCCAGATTGCCACAGCTGTCTGCAGCAATTGCCTTAGTCGGGGGCATCAGCCAACAGCTGCAGGAGCACAAGGCAGAGGCCCTGGCCCAGATCAGTGCAGCCTTCGAGGACCTGGAGCAAGCGCTGCAGCAGCGCAAGCAGGCTCTGGTCAGCGACCTGGAGAACATTTGTGGGGCCAAACAGAAGGTGCGTCTTGTGTTCCCTCTTCCCTACCATCATCCATTGTGATGGTTTTATTGCCTCCACTGCTCCGCTGTCTTCCACACTAGCTTCCCAGTCCCCAGCCTAGACTTTCTGCCTCCTGACATGCCCTTGGTAGGTGCTGTGGGCATCTGTGTCCTCTGTCCACAGGCACCCTCTTGTATTTTATGCCACAGTGCTACAACTTCAGTAATCACAGAGACTCCCCCGTGCCAGTCTGCTCACCCACCTCTCCCCTCCCCCTCTCAGGTGCTGCAGACCCAACTGGACACACTGCGCCAGGGTCAGGAACACATTGGCAGTAGCTGCAGCTTCGCAGAGCAGGCACTGCGCCTGGGCTCGGCCCCGGAGGTGTTGTTGGTGCGCAAGCACATGCGAGAGCGGCTGGCGGCGTTGGCGGCACAGGCCTTCCCGGAGCGGCCACACGAGAATGCACAGCTGGAACTGGTCCTTGAGGTGGACGGGCTGCGGCGGTCGGTGCTCAATCTGGGCGCACTGCTCACCACAAGCGCCACTGCACATGAGACGGTGGCCACAGGGGAGGGGTTGCGCCAGGCGCTAGTGGGCCAGCCTGCCTCGCTCACTGTCACTACCAAAGACAAGGACGGGCGGTTGGTGCGCACAGGCAGCGCCGAGCTGCGTGCAGAGATCACTGGCCCTGATGGCACGCGCCTTCCGGTGCCAGTGGTGGACCACAAGAATGGCACATATGAGCTGGTGTACACAGCCCGCACGGAAGGCGAGCTGCTCCTCTCAGTGCTGCTCTACGGACAGCCAGTGCGCGGCAGCCCCTTCCGCGTGCGTGCCCTGCGTCCTGGGGACCTGCCACCTTCCCCCGACGATGTGAAGCGCCGCGTCAAGTCCCCTGGTGGCCCCGGCAGCCATGTGCGCCAGAAGGCGGTGCGTAGGCCCAGCTCCATGTACAGCACAGGCGGCAAACGAAAGGACAACCCAATTGAGGATGAGCTCGTCTTCCGTGTTGGTACAGACAGCCAAGGGCAGACCCAGATGGGCCAGGCTCAGGTAGTGGATGGGGAGGGGAGGAAGGTTCAAAATGACCTCTGAGGGAATTCTTTTGTTTTCCTTCCCATCCCTTCCCCACAGGCAGTCGTGGAAGAGAGAAAGGCGAATTCACCAATTTACAAGGTGTGTCTGCAGCCAGCAGCGGCCGCATAGTGGTAGCAGACAGCAACAACCAGTGTATTCAGGTAAACACATTTACTGGTCTCCTCCACCACCAAAATAAGAGTTTTCAAGCTACAGCCTCCTGAAAAGGTAGAATGTACAGGCACCTCCCATTCCCACAGGCCACACCTGTAACCAGCACCTTCAGTCAGAAATCAGAGTTGACTATGCTTGTAGCCTCTACTTTGTAGGCCATGTCTCAGGCCAGATCAGGACTGGAAAGATCTGGCTGGACTGCAAAGATCTGGCTCATTCCTTCTTCCCTTATGCCTCTCCTTGAGCCTCTTACTTTCTCCCTTTTTCTCCTGGTAGCCAGGATGCAGGCCTGCCCTCCCTCGTTGTCTTCCAACATGCCTGCCTGGCTCCCGAACGTAGGTAGTTTGTCTGGAGTCTCTTGCAGTTATCAGGTTGGCTAGATAGTCTCATGGGGGTGCCTTGGCCAAAGGGGGTATCTTTCTGTGGCTAGAAGTTGTAGCGTCACCTCACAGGTGGTCCTGCCCCTGCCTCTTTCATAACCTCGTACACCTGATTAAAGCATCCACTGCACTGAATGGATATGGTTTCTTCTGCACTGTGAGCTACTTGGTAAAGCCAGGAAATTTGCCTTTTTCTTTCTCTGTTTCTTGTAGTAAAAGCTCAGAGCCTAGTATAGTGGGCACTAGGGTAGTTGACACAGCAGAGCAGTTAAAATCTCAGGCTCTGAATCCAAACACCTGAGCTTGAATCCTAGCTCTGTCACATACTAACAAGTTACATGACCTCTTTGAGCTTCAGTTAGCTCGTGTAAAATTAGGAAAAGTATTTCTGATAGGGTTTCAGGGAGTGTTAAATGATGTAATGTACTGTACTTGACATCTAGTGAAATTTCTGATGTTAGCTATTGTTAAGCATATCATTGTCCAGGTGGAGGCTGTAAACAAAAGCAGGCAGGTGGGAAAGTGCTGGAGGAGGTGGTTCAGGGAACTGGAGCCCAGCAGGCCTGAGGTAGATTACTATTAGAAGTGGGGGTAGCTGAGGTCAGATTGTAAATGGTTTTGGAGATGGAGTGTTGTAGAATATTGATTTTATTCTGTACGGGATTATTTCTAACTGCCATGCACTTTACTTCTTGTAAACATTTTACTGGGTAGCTAACCTTTTCCCTAAAGATCCTTACTTCTCAACACCTATACGTTTAAACTTTCTGACCCTGCTTAAGTACTCATGTCATCGATTTAGCTCTGCTACGGTCCTTTCCCTCAGTGACAGCTCCTCCCTGAACCCTGCTTTTCACCTAGCAGTCTAAAAGTGCCAGGGACTCTTCTGTGGTCGTATTCCCAGTTCTGTCCAGTCTGCCTTTACTCCTACTCTAAGAGCAGAGGAATGGAGAGCCCTGTGCAGCACAGGAAGGTATTTGGGCCCAGCCTGGAAGTGAGGAGGGGATTGCAGGGGAGTAATGAGATAGTGTTGAGGCCCTACTCAGTTTCACCTTCCAGCTCCTTTCCATCTCCCTAGGCTGGGAATGCTTCCTGGCATAAAAGTTGAGATTCAGGACCCCATCTCTGTTGTGCACACACACAGGTGTGCTCACTGCTCACATGCACAGAAAAACAAGTGCCACTTTGTCTGCCCTAATGAGGGGCCGAGCTTCTCCACTGTTTGTTTTTGAGACAGGGTCTCACTCTGTCGCCCAGGCTGGAGTGCAGTGGTGAGATCACAGCTCACTGCAGCCTTGACCTCCTGTGCTCAAGCAATCATCCTACCTCTGCCTCCCAAGTAGCTGGGACTGCAGGTGTATGCTACCACACCTGGCTAATGTTTTTTTTATTTTTATTTTTAGTAGAGACAGAGTCTCACTGTATTTCCTGGGCTGGTCTGGAACTCCCAGGCTCAAGCTATACCCCTGCCTTGGCCTTCCAAAGTTCTGGGATTATAGGTGTGGGCCACCACACCTGGCCTCCCCATTGTTTCAGAGTGGGGAATTAAGAGGGAACACCTGGTGTAGCTCCACTCCCTTCCAAACACCTGCTACTTCTATAGCAATCCTCCTCTTGCTTCTACTTCCACCTGCCCTCTGTGTCGTCACTGCTAGGAGCCTGGCTCACATTCCTCAGCTGAGTTTCTGCTTCCCTTACTCTGGAGTTTTTAGGGCTGGCATGGGCTGGGCTGATGAGGTCTGATCGCCCTCCTCCTCTCAGTACATGGAGATTGTGGTCCTCACGACATGACCTTTTTCTCTTTTGGGCCCTTGTGGAGGATGAGACGACTCCCTCATTGAGAACCAGCATCAGCTGACAGAAGACAAAAAACATTTTGTGATTCTGAATGCATAATTTGATTTGTGTATAGTATGTCCTTGTGTAATTGTCTAAGCTCCCAATTTTATCAACTCTTCTGTGAAAACTCCCTCATTCCTTTAGGCAGAATGTTAAATCACATTCTACTCTGAGTTCCCTCAGCCTTTTGCTGTAGTACTTTTCATACATTCCTGGAATCCCTGGTTTGTTTTTGTTTTTATCTGGTTTTGGTTTGGTTTAGTCTTTCTCCCCTACTAGACTGTGAGATTCCTAAAGTCAGATATCTACTTTCTGATACCATGGTATAGGAGAGAGATGTTAAGGATCAAACTAGGACACCAGCAGATTCTAGAGATATTATGGAAGCAAGAATGTCAGATTTTGCTGAGTCGTCAAATATCAAGAATGGCAGGACTTGGTGGACTGGGTAGATGGTGTTGCCATTCAGGAGCAGGCTCAGGTTTAAGTTGATGAATTCACTTTTGCAGATTTGGGATAGCTATGCGGCATTCAAGTGGAGATGTCCAGTTCAGGTCTGAGATTGAGCTGGGGAGTTCATTCGTTGAATGTCTACTATGTGCCAAATGCCATACCAGTGCTGCAAATGCAGCAGCAAACAAAACAAATGCAGTCTCTATGCCATGTGAGGCTTACCTCTTTAGAAGGGGACACCAATATTTAACAGTTATTTAGCCGCAAAGTGCTGATTGTTCTGAAGAGCACTGTAAAGCATATATCCTGGTGACCTAACTTTATGTGTGCATATTGATTCAGTAGAGCGGAGGGTGGTGCTTGGTCATTAAAGTCTTCTCTGAACAAGTGACCTGGAAATTCTAAGTAATGGGAAGATAAATAAGAGTTGGCCAGGTGTCAGGGGTGGGATAGGATAGGACTGGGAGAATAAGACATCCCAAAGCCTCATCAGTATTGAGTCAGAACCTGAGCTGCCCAAACTGGAGGGGCAGATGCAACAACTTACTGCTGAACTGTACCTTTTAGTCCCCCTCACTTCTGTTTAGCTTGTGGAGCTCGTGGTACCACCCTCCTCATACTGATGAGTGCTGTCCTGCCACAGGGGACCACTGCAGAACCCAAGAGCTGTGCTGGCCAGCCAGAGAAGAACTTAGTAGAAGGTCCACATTAGAAGAAAGTAATGTCTGTTTAAACAGCCCTGAAGGACTAAAAGATGGGGTTAGGGTGGGGTGGGAGTGGGGAGACCAGTCCACTAAGGAAAGCACAGGAATCCAAGAGCAAGGCCAATGCCCAGAATTTGAGTTCTCCAAGGCTACTCCTGGCTCTTGTTCATCTTGTGTCCCCAGAGCCTATTACAAAACAGAGTGTATGAGTCTTATGCAGTGAGTAATGTTTTGACTATGAAGGAAAAGCCAGAAAGCTTAGCTAAAGTGGGAAAGAGGATTAAAGGAGGTGCTTTTGGGATGGGGAGACCTGAGCATATTGGGCAGCTCAAGTGGAGGAGGTTGGAGAAGGGAGAGGCTGAAAGGTTCACTCTGTCTAGGAGGAAGGTTTCCTTGTGAGCCCCATAGCCAGGATGGACTAAGCCTTGTGTACGTTCTCTCCTCTCTCCTACCCCTTTCCAGTCTGCTACTAAGTCTCATGAGCCTACCTCCTATATATCTCTTGAGTCCATCTGCTTCCCTCCAGCCAATTTCCTTGGTCTAAGCCGTCATCATTGCTCAACTGGAATACTGCAACAGCCTCTGACTGGGTGGCTAGCTTCCAGTCTTTACTCTTCCCTACAGCCAGAATGTTCTTCCTTAAAAATGAAATTGATCTTGTCACTGCTATGCCCAGAAATATTTAGAAACTCCTCATTACACCCAGGATAAAACATAATTCCTGATTCCTTCTTTTGTTCATGTGGGTGCTCCCTGCCGTCCAGCCACACTGGACAGGTCCGCAAGCAGCACCCATACGGGAGTTGGTGCCTTTTACAATCTGTTCACTCTGCTTGAATGCCCTTCCTCCTCCTTTGCTGGCTGAATTTGGTTTATGTGGCATCCTTATTAGGCTATTTGTTCAGACATCTTCTTTTGGAGCCTTTTCTCACCATTCCCCTACATCCCTTTCATGTTCTCACAACCCAGTCACATCTGTGCTGAATGCCCCCAGACCTGCTGCCATGTTTGAGTTTGTCAGTAAGTCCTTGTTGAATGACTAAATAAATGGTGGTGGAGGAGTCTCCTCCCTCAGGATCCTACTCCCTTCTGTCTGTGGCCACAGTGTCTCCCCTCCTACCTGCACCCTCCCCTTGCTCCTTTGCTCCAGGTTTTCTCCAATGAAGGCCAGTTCAAGTTCCGTTTTGGAGTCCGAGGACGCTCACCTGGACAGCTGCAGCGCCCCACAGGTGTGGCAGTGGACACCAATGGAGACATTATTGTGGCAGACTACGACAACCGTTGGGTCAGCATCTTCTCCCCTGAGGGCAAGTTCAAGGTAAGAGGTCTGCTGTCACTTTAGTTACCCTAGTGTCCAGCTGAGTTAACCAGTGTAGTACCTCTTGGTGGTTAGGGTCTGGACTGATCCAGACCTGCCTCCTCCTACTGTCTGGTCTTTCACCAGCCCAAGGTTCTGCTTTGATGCTGGATTAGGACTACTTTCCCCACTAGTCAGGGTAAAGCCCCTTTTGGATATTCTCTTCCTCCAGACCAAGATTGGAGCTGGCCGCCTCATGGGCCCCAAGGGAGTGGCCGTGGACCGGAATGGACATATCATTGTGGTCGACAACAAGTCTTGCTGCGTCTTTACCTTCCAGCCCAATGGCAAACTGGTTGGCCGTTTTGGGGGCCGTGGGGCGACTGACCGCCACTTTGCAGGTATGCGGGGGACAGCTCCAAGATCTGGGCTGATACCCCTGTTCCATAGAACTCCCCTAGATACTCTAGCTCTAAAGGCCCTCTTCTCTTATATCTTGGCTCTGGAGATCCCCCTTCCCTATACGTTAGCCCTGTCATCTCAGAGATAATTTGTCTCAGTCCTAGAGACCCCACCCCTCTCCTAGACCCCTAGCTTTATCTTCCTAGATACTCTTCCCCATCCCACTCAGTATCCCAGCTTACTGCCCTGAAGACCACTTTGTATTTTCAGGCCCCCATTTTGTGGCTGTGAACAACAAGAATGAGATTGTAGTAACGGACTTCCATAACCATTCAGTGAAGGTCAGTGTCCTCCCTCCCTCCATGACCAGTGTTCCAACATCCATCCCCCTTCTATAAGACTCCTCTCTATTTTACCTCCTTTTCCCCTTGAGATCATTCATTCAAACAATACACATTTGCACAGTTGTGGCATGGCTGCTGCTTTGTCCCAGGCAGTATGCTAGAAGCTGGAGATACAGTGATGCACAAAGCAAATGTACTCTTTGTCTTCTTGATTATAGTCTAGTAGAGAAGAGAAAAAGGTAACCAAAGGCTGGGCATGATGGCTTATTCCTGTAATCCCAGCACTTTGGGGGGCCGAGGCGGGTGGATCACAAGGTCAGGAGTTCAAGACCAGCCTGGCCAATATTGTGAAACCCTGTCTTTACTAATATAAAAATTAGCCAGGTGTGGTGGAGGACACCTGTAATCCCAGCTACTCAGGAGGCTGAGGCAGGAGAATCACTTGAACCCAGGAGGTAGAGGTTGCAGTGAGCCAAGATGGTACCACTGCACTCCAGCCTGGTGACAGAGAGAGACTCTGTTTCCAAAAAAAAAAAAAGATAATCAAAAAATTACAATATGATGTAGTAGATTCTGTGATAGGAAGGTGCAGGGAACTGTGGGAAGGCATACTTCCCTGAAGTGGATGATTCAGGGAAGACTAGGTGAAGAGGACCTCAAACACAAATGGGAAGTAACTAGAAGGCAGAGGAGGATGAGAGTGTTTGAGACAAGACACAGGAAGAGCCAAGAATGAGAGGTGGGAACCTTGATAGTGTATTTGAGAAATCACAGGTAGTTCTGACTCGGCTTGAGGAGGGGGCCATGAAAGCTGAGGGGGAGGCTTGCATGCCCCCTCAAGGGGCTTGCTCTCCTCCCAAGAGCCATAGGATTGCAGGCAGGAGAGTGATGCAGTCCTGTGTGTCTTAGATCACTCAGGCTGAGGCAAGACTGAGGCAGGAAGATCAGTCTTTTGCAGTGATCCAGATGAGAAATGATGTGAACCTGGACCATGGGAAAGATATGACAGTGTTTGTATAGGGTCTAAATTTGAGAGAGAGATTTGGAGATGGAATGAAGGGTTGTGTTAATTCATTGGCTTATCAAGCAGAGAAGAAATTGGAGTCAAGAGTGACTCATGGCCAGCTAGGTGGTACCAGTCATTGAGATAAAGAACTCAGAAAACTGATTTTCCAGAGAAAATAAGCTGTTAGATTTGATATTCCCAACGGACATCAGCAAGAGAGGTCCAGTAGGCAGCAGGGTATGTGGATGTGAAGCCTATGAAACAGATATGGGCTGTAGCTGTTGATCTGGGTGGGGATCCTCAGCCCTGGGGCTTCACCCTGTCCTCCTCTAAGGCCCTACCCTCTGCCTGAGGCCAGGTCCCCAGTCCCTAGCCCCTTCCCCCGCCAGGTGTACAGTGCCGATGGAGAGTTCCTCTTCAAGTTTGGCTCCCATGGCGAGGGCAATGGGCAGTTCAACGCCCCCACAGGAGTAGCTGTGGACTCCAATGGAAACATCATCGTGGCTGACTGGGGTAACAGCCGCATCCAGGTGAGTAAGGGCCAGGGCTGACATGAGGGTGAGGTTTCCTGCCATGTCCCATATACCTATTCCCCCAAAACAGCCTCTCCTCTGCCTGATCTTGCCTCTCCCTCCATTCTCCACTCCTTCCCCAGGTATTCGACAGCTCTGGCTCCTTCCTGTCCTATATCAACACATCTGCAGAGCCACTGTATGGTCCACAGGGCCTGGCACTGACCTCGGATGGCCACGTGGTGGTGGCTGATGCTGGCAACCACTGCTTTAAAGCCTATCGCTACCTCCAGTAGCTGCACAGAGGCCCTGCCTGGCTTGTGGAGGGACAGACATTGGGGTGATTGGACAAGAGGGTCTGGCTGGGAGGTGGGCCAGACCTGGCAGCACTGAATGTGGGCTGTGGGCATGGGTGTGCCCGGTGCCCTCCCTCTCCTACCCCCACCCCCACGGTTGCACTTTATTTATTCGGTTCTTGCTTTGGTGACTGGGTGAGCCTGGACTGTGGTCCCAAGGATGTGTGCAGAGCTTTACCCTACCCTTCTTACACACCTCCCCTCCCCCCTCAGTCTGCTCCCCATCCCCCAGCCTGGGGCCAGAACAGCCTCTTACTCCAGGACAGAAGTCCCTCTGGTTGTCTCCCTACCACCCTATACACACTGACAGAGACAGCAATACCCCACCCCCCATATTAAATAAATGTCTTCACCAAGATGTTTTTGCTGGGTTCTTGTGGGGTGGGGCTGCAGTGAGGAGACGGGATGGTGGGACTAGCTCTGGTTGGCAAGCAGGCAGGCAAGGGACCCAGCTTCCCAAGCAGATCCTGATCTTTTGAAACTTTCATAGAGAAGAGCAAGAGTGTGAACCCATGGGACCCTGAGCCACCTGCCATATCCCCATCCCCAGGCCCTACGGAGGTAGGCAAGTCCTTTGTCTATCTGCCCTGGGGCTGGGAAGGTTTGTGTGGTTAGGGGTGGTGAGGGAATGACCCCTGCCCAGCACACGGCCAGTAGGTGCAGAGAGAACAGTTTCGGGGTATGAAAGCAATCTTTGAAGTCCAAGCCTGGACAAGGGAATTGAGGCTAACCCAGGTAAAAGTTGCATGTGGCAGACTCCATGACTAATTTTAAAAGTCATCCCTGAATCCCTGGAGCCCTGACCTATCCCCTTTCTCACCTTTCTAAGATTGCTGCCCCTTCCCTGCAGTGGAATGAGGGTCCTCACATTGTCTCCTGAGTTCTAGTCTGCCAGAGTTTGGCTGCCATCTTCAGAGATAATTGAAAGCAGCTGTCAGTGATGATTTGGGAAGTAGGGACCATGGTTTCTCTCTCTCTACAAAAGACTGAAGCTTACAGAAATGGGTTGTATTGTTTATGAAGAGCAGAGCCCAGACTTGAATCTGTAGCTGTCATACTCCTAACTGGTAAGTTATAGCATCCTGTTCATCCTTGTGCCCCGTGCACCTGGCATGATGACTGGGAGAGAAAGCACCCAACAAGATTTGGGGAATGTTGGGAAGGTTGATCATGAGAGGTCATGGAAATGATCAAGACATCCATCTGCTATAGCACAATTCCTGGGACTGGGATAAGAGGGATTATCCACGGACCTGTGGAAGACCATGAAGGCTTTGTAGAGATCAAGGGGGCCCCACTTGGACTATATGGAAGCCTTGTTTATGCTTACCTCTCTGGTACTCTCTGCCCCACTGGCTGAAACCTGTTAGATAGGCCCGGTGCAGCAGCTCACGCCTGTAATCCCAGCACTTTGGGAGGCTGAGGTGGGTGGATCACCTGAGGTCAGGAGTTCGTGACCAGCTTGGCCAACATGAAACCCAGTCTGTACTAAAAATATAAGAATCAGTCAGGCATGATGGTGGACAACTGTAATCCCAGCTACTTGGGAGGCTGAGGCAGGAGAATCACTTGAAAAAAGAAAAGAAAAGAAACCTGATAGACAGGTGGACAGACAGTGGGCTCCCTGAAGATTCTAGTGCAAGTGCTCTTATGGAGCCTGTCCCTCTGGCTCTGATTATGAGTGGAATTGCATAAGCCCATACCCTGGCCAGCATAGATGGTGTGCTCAATTATCTGTCACACAGCACCAATGGAGTCCTCCCTGAGAGCAATAAGGTAGTGGTCTGTTTTTCCTCACCCCCGTCTTGCAAAGCAACAGAAGTAATACAGAATGGAAACTCAAAGCTCCAGCCCTCAGTCTCTCACATGTTTACATCTGGAACATCTAAAGGTAGCAGGGGAATAAAAAGCAAGGGCGGCCTAGGGTGGGATGCTGCAAATGGTTCCTTTACTACCCTAAGAACAGGCTGCTAGGGCCAATTTCCATAAATTCAGATTAGGTAGTCTTCCTATGCAATGGAAAAGGCACATCAAGGTGAAGTCATTCTGTTCCTTTTAAATCCAGCCATGGTGGGCATTTTCTTTCCAATTCAGGCATTGGGCCCAAGTAGAGGGATGTAGTGCCTGACAGTGGAGGCCATGTCTTGAATGATTGTCATAGATTTGGGAGTCACAGCAAAGCCTCTTCTGGAACAGGTCAGAATGTTATTTTGTGGTCTGCAAGGGTTCACACTTTGCTCATACAGGACTGTCTGGTGATCAGAACAGCCCTATAGCCATCTGTGGCCACAGGTTCATTTATTTATTGAACAAGTATTTGTTGAACACTTACTATTGGTCAGAGTAACGGGCCTTGGGAATGCAGAGAAATGGTCCCTGCCCTTATTAAGCTTGTACTCTAGTGGAGAAGGGAGACAAGCAACAAGGAACCAAATGTGTAATAATAATTTGAGTTCAAGCTGTGAAGAAAATGAATAGAATACAATGGAGAATATAGTGTTAAGTAGAGTGGACAAGGAAGGCCTCTTAAACAGTGACCTGCAGGGTTGGAGCAGGGTGGATAGGGAACTAGCTGTGTTAAAAAAAAAAAAAAAAGAGGAGATAGAGATTTTCAGACAAAGGAAAAGCAGGTACAAAGGTCCTGAGGGGTTGAGATCTTGATGTGTTTGCAAATCTGAAAGGAGGCCAGGGTGGCTGGAGAGGAAGGAGGGTGGAGGGAGAGAGGAAAGAACAAGTTTGGAGAATTAGGCCTGACTTGGATCATTTAACTCAGGTAAAGAGCTTGGGTATGGTTTGGAGTACAACAGTAAACCACTGAAAAGTTTAAGTGATAGGGATCAAAGGGATGCCTTGTGAAACAAACTGGAAACTGAATGGTGATCCTGTGGGGTAGAAAGAGAATTGAGAGTAAAAATCAGAACACAATTCAACATTTCTAAACTGTTCCCCTTGAAAACTGTATACATTAGAATTACAACTGACTTCAAGAAAAAAATTTTAAGCGGGAGCATAAGGCGGTCTCATATACATTTTTAAAGATCACTATAGTGGTTACAAAGAATGTGTTGTAGAGGAGCTATTTCAATGGTCAGACAAGAAAAGATGGTGTTTGCCTTACTGAAGAGGCAGAGAGAAATGGACAGATTTTATGTATAATTAGGAAGTAGGAACAAGAAGATTCAATATTTATTAAATACATACAGTATTTCAGGCATTGTTCTCAGTGCTAAAGATACAGCAGTGACTAAGACAGGTAAGATCCTTGTCCTGTACACAAAGGCAGCATGGTGGACCATGGGGTGTGGAGCTGGAGCAGTCAGCTCATAAGAGCTGATTGTCAAATTTGGAATTTTGAGAGGTGGTTGTTAAAACCCAGTTATTATTAAAAATCAAACTATATAAATTTAAATACATTCTATTGAAACCAAGTATAATCAGTACTCAAAACTAATTACTTCCTAATTATTTTACTACATTTCACTATCCCCTATGCTCTTGTCATTATTCATATCATATCTATATGGTAGGAATATTGTATGTAGTGTGTTACTGCCCATCCCTTCCCAACTCTACATTTGGTGATATTGGTAGCTTAAAATTGGCCATGGTAGGAGTGTTTATATCACAAAAATCAGCAAATATTACAAATCGGTGCTTTTTCCCTTCTAGAGAGCAGTTGTTAAATATTTACCAGCATACCCCTTGATAGGAATACACTATCCTTGTAGGAACAAACCCTTGGGAGTCAACACCCAGGGTTTAAATCATAGCTCTGCCACTTGCTAACAATGTGATTTGTCCAGGATACCTAATATTGGCTTCCTTCTTCCTAAAATGGGACTAATAGTACTGCCTTTGTTTGTGCTGCTATAACAAAATGTCTGTGACTGGTGATTTATAATAAACAAAAATGTATTTTTCACAGGCCTGGTCTCTGCTTCTGTGCTGGTACCTTGAATGTTGCACCCACTAGAGGAGACAAATGCTGTTCATCACGTGGCAGAAAAGCAGAAGAGAGACAGAATCCACTTCTGAAAGCCCTTTTTATAGCAGCATTAATCCAGTCATTGGGCAGAGCTCTCATGACCTAAACACCTCTCATGAGGCCCCACCTCCAAACACTGCCACATTGGGAATTCAGCTTCCAACACATGAATTTGGAGGGGACAAAAACATTCAAACCATAACAAGTGCTATAGAAGTGCTACATTTGTGTATATAGATTGCTCTGACATGAATTGTATAATTCCTATCAAGTGCCAGACACATGTATCCAATAGGTATGAACAAATTATTATTTATTGGTAGAGAAGCAAGAATGGACTATTCAGAAGGCCCATTATAGACTGAGCAAGAGGAAATGTTTATGTGGGAGGGGTCAGCTGGGATCAGCAAGCTCTTTAGCTGCCTGGAGCTTTATCCCTAAGCCTTCTATCCCTGGGGAAAGGGGACATTCATTTCCTGCTCCACGGAGTATACAGCCCAGGCTTCAGGCCCAGAACACCTAGCACTCAGTGGGCCCTGGAAGAAAAGGCTAAGGTCAGAGAACTCAGGTGTACAGCAGAGCAGGCTGGACGTGTACAGAGCCATTCCAAGGGACAGTGGGTCAGTGTCCGGCTTAAATATGGCTCCTGGCAATGCAGGAGGAAGCTCTTTCCATGAAGACATTTGCAGGTTCATATTCAGACCCCTTCTGGGAGAAGTCAAAAAGCTGCTGGTTAGGAGAATTGGAAGATTACACAGGAAAAGAGATGATTGAATTTCTCTGAGCTCGAATTTCCAGATAAGAGATTGAGGTCCCCAAATCCATTCTGGGCAGCAAGTTTTGCAGAGGAACGGAAAGAAGCATAGAAGGGGACATGCCACTAAGGCGGCGCAGCCAGGGCTGAGAGGAGTGAACGGAGGCCATGGAGAGCCACTTTCAGGGAAGAACTGGGCTCTAGCCTCCAGTTGAAGGGCGGGAGTGCACTGATTCCTGCGGCCTCCAGGGGGTGCTCAGGCCCAAGTACGTCGACAAGCTGCTTTTCCACAGCCCAGGCAGGAAGCCTGGGAAGGACTCAGAATACCCAGAAGGGACCTCCTGTAGTGAGGGAAGAGAAGGAAGGCTGCTCAGTCCTGAGTACCCTGAGAAGTGTTGGCTTGTACCTGTGACCAACACCAGAGTGGCCAGCATATCCACAGCTCTGCGTTCCCAAATGCATACAATCCTCTCAACTCCTGCACAAAACTTGAACTTCAACCTGGACTGGCTGCAGTGCAGATGACTCTGCTGGCCTCATTCCTGGGTGGAGCAGGAGGCTCCAGTAATGGTATCTAAGCCATGCTGCAGTACACAGGTGAATTAGGAAGCAACAGGGA